TTCCCACGTAGGGTAGGGGAAAGGGGATGGTTGCCTTTTTTTTTTTTTTTAAGATAGAACACTGTGTGTTGTGTAAGAGTTCCAGAAAGATTATGGATTAACGGTGTCACCTTAATACTTTAGAAAGGGTTTAAGTAGCATTAGAATATTACTTAAGTAACCTTAACGACAATTTAGAAACCACTTACAAAACTAATTTTAAAAGGCATCTAATAAAGTTTGAGAACCACTCTTTTGTCCCTGTATGCTCCATGACTTTTGTAGTAGATTTCTGCATATGTATTGTTTTGTCACTTAAGAAAACAGGTGTCGGACCTAACACAATTACAAGGCACTAATTTACAGGTTTCTTACTGGGTATTCAGAATTGCATATTTTCACATACAAGCACACTGAGAAACTTATAAGTAAATTAAAAAGAAAAGTGTCCTAATAAAGAAGCATTAAGCATGTGTAAAAAAAAATTATGGGAAGATGCAAATAGAAACTGTACAGAAAATATAATTTACCATCAATGCTTTTATGATAATTATGCAACTTACAAATAAAGTGAGTTTGCCTGTATTGTACCCAGACATCCATCTAAGACAGGACCCTCAGAACACCAACATTTTTTCCAAAATGACTTATCTTCAGTCAGTCTGACTACCAGCTGAATAAAGATAAGCCAGTTAAACACTCTCTGGGTCATGTCTGGCGTATAAAAATAGCCACACTTCACTAGACAGGTCAAAGATACTTCAGGTCCACTGTCTTGTCTCTGGCAATAGCCAGGAGCACATGCCTAGGGAATAGACATTCCTTAGTCACACTCTGCTTCCAGCAGCCTATGACCTGGAAATAAGTTCCACAAATGGGTTAAATGGACTTTTCCTCCATGAAATTATCTATTTTTTTTTACTCGTATTTACTTTTAGCCTCCATACCACCTTGTGCTAATCAGTCCCACATTATAACTACAGACACTTTTTTCTTAAAGAAATCTGATTCTTTCTCAAACTATTTTGCAGGAATATTTCACAGAATTCCAAAAAGACTGTCTTGAGGTTAAAGGAAAGTAAGACTTTTCAGTTCAGTCATCTGTGATTTTTACAGCTATAGTTAAGGCTGTCACTGTAGTAAAGGGATCAAATAAAAATTCTAAATGGTGCTGTCTTCCTACATCCATAAGTCCAAACATCTTATTCCTGTGGCTTGTAGAGGCTGATAGTGCTAATATGAAACACTGAGAGAGACTTAGGGAGAATTTAGCTATGGGGAAAAGTGGGGGACAGAGTTTAGTCCCTTGAATCTTCTCTCTAAAATAGATGTGGATTTCTCTATCCTGATATTATTGTTCTCATTGTCTGCAATTTCGTGTTTCAAACGCTTCATTAAACTTTCCCCTATATCTTATGGCATCATCTGTAGAAAACTTGAAATTTCCTAGATATATTTTATCAGACCCTCAAGGGTTTTTGCTTCATGATGTGTCAATAACTTTGAGTCCCCACTATTACATATGAAGGTGCAAGTATGTCTAAATATTACATATGAAGATCTGGTACAGTGCCAAGAGATTCCACGTGACCTGGATGGGTTTATCCAATCATATTCAGTGGAAAATAAGCACATGGCGTATCTTTGATACAGACACTACTCAGGCGATAGGTTTCTGTTTGCAAGTGTTGATGTTGGATTAAAGTCTATAGAATTAAATTCTGGTTTTTACTCTGATGTATAATTTCAGCTTCTTCTTTCCATGACTCATGTTTATGGCAGAATTTAATATAAAATTTTTTTATCCTTTCTTGAAGTGCCTTACATTCTCAAAGTCCTGCCAGTCCCTCTGCTATCAGTTTCTTTGCTTCTTCCAGTTTTGCCTTTCCTCCCCTTTGTATCACATTTCCTACAGACCTACAATGCAAGTTCTTCTCTACCTCTGCATTCTCCCTCATTTTACTTCTAGACTTTGCTTGGAGGGTAATACACATGAAGAAATGTAATGCCCAGCTAACCTGGATATGGAGATGCAATAAATCTGAGAAAACTGTGCTTTAAATAGTGAAGTAACTTTTCCTGAGTGAAAGTGAGGATTTTAAATGACTAAAAAGAACAGTGTTGCCAGCATAGCCCTTCTAATCTGTGTGAACTTCATCACTATAATCCCTCAGTAAAGCTATTCTAATAGGAACGTGGCCAACAGAAATTCCTCTACAAGCAGTTTCTTCTCCTACTTGCACTTAATTCGAACTTCCATGTTTCCATTTTATTCTGGGTTATTGCACTGCTTCTTTAAATATTCTGGCTGTTTTCTCTTACTTCTTTTTTAATTACGACCTTTGCTGATAAGCATCTCATGCTTGTTCATATGCTTATTTTGTCAAATGCTTCAGTGTAAAATTTAAGGTTTTTTTTTTCAGATTCATCAAATAGGTAATTTACAATAGCTTGATGATTATCTTGAAGAATTATTTCAGTAAATGTAGATTTTTCTGACATTTTAACCTTGTCTTCCAGAAGAACAATCACAGCAGAGTTAGGAGATTCTTCCATTCCATATGGAAGAAATATGCATGTTTTCAAGGAATGAGATGGGACTGAGATGGCATAGTTTTTGATACTTGCATTTATGCTGTTGCTTTTTTCAGAAGAATGTTTGAAAATTGAAACATATAAAAAATTATTGCAGACCCCTGTATTTACCAAAAAAAAAAAAAAATCATCATCTATGGCTCCTGAAACTTATGTTCAAACTTTTGATTTTTTTTCTTTTGAATACTGCTATTATTTCAGGGGATCAGGGAAAGGAAGTTTAAGTAACAACAGAGTTTTTTAAAACTCCCTCTTCTCATTGAACAAGCAATTTGGCTGATATACACCAGAAAATTCTGTGTCGGCATTTCCAGTTCCTAGCTGCTGAAAATTTAGATTTGATGAACAATAAAAGGCTGAAGATTGACACTTCAAGCTACCTTTCTTTTGCTTGGTTATTACAAATACAGCATTCTTTGCCTATGAGTGATATTTTGAAGTGGAGTTTTTACAAATATCACTTCACATGTTTCATATTTATTCTAGTTTAATCAATATATCATATAGAAAATCCCTGCTGCTTCTTAGTATTGAAGGTCTTGATCTTATAACTGACAGCACATTAGTGGGCAGCTTTTGTTGCTCTGGGGAATCTGTTGAAAGCGGTGCAAGGGAAGACTAAAGATTAAAAAAAAAATCACCTTTTAATGATAGCTATGGTATATGTCACTGTTGAAGTCCTTCAGTGTGCTTCTTTCCCTTTTCTCTCCCTCCTCAGCAGCACTACCCTGACTGGCTGCACACTCTAGTTTATGCAATGTGGTTACAAATATGTTTTGAAAGTCTGTTCCAGTGAGAGTCTAGCTTGTTGTCCTTTTGCAGTAAAGGCTTGTACCCATTTCTGAGAATACCTTGCAATTCTTATCTTACATAGTTAGCATGTCACAGCTCTTTGTTTGCCTGAAGAATTCAACTGACTTCGAAATGTCCACGTGAACCTGTGTGCCACGGCATAGAGCCTGCCCTAAACTTCATGCAGCATGAGCATCTCGCCCATCTGACTATGCCACCCTCACTGCTCACACCCCACAGGTGCACCACCACTCATCCCTTTGGCACCCAAAAAACAGGTCTCATGACACGTCCAACAGCAGCGTTCACCTTCTTTGCAGTCTTAAGATCAAATTTGTCTCTCGCGACTGTTGACGTGGCTTTTGCCACTGAACCAGTGTGAACCTCGACCCAGAGGAAAATTCATCTCGTGCAGCTGCACAGCACCCCAGGGCAGCCAGACTGTGCAGAGAAATGCTGCTCAGGTGGTGCTCTCTGTCCTCTTGTGATGCACCACGGGAGTGCCGCTGGTGAGACAGCACCTTTGCAGTGGGTTGAAGTGTAACAGTTGTATTTTAACATTCTACCACGACTAGTGCATGCCACAGTATGCACTGTAAGGCTTAAAGCTGTAAAACTGTACAGTGCTATCTACCACAATACAGCACAGATGTTATGGCACTACAAGTTTGCACAAACAATTTGAAGCAGCAGAAGCAGCAGTCCAGCACCCCTTCTACTGCTGGCCACCCTTTTCCACCCTTGTTTTATCTGTTCTCTTGTGGAACCCAAAGTTTTGTGAGACCAGGCAATGCAAAAATGTAAATAATGTTGTCTAAAGCTAACTATATTTTTTAGTATTCAGCCTATATTTATTAGTATTCAAAACTTATTCAATTCAAGCTTTTGCCTGGATCTGTCCTTATACTTTTTCCCAAATGCAACCACAAACATTCATGCTGGCCTAAGGGAAGGGAATGGATGGGATTGAACGAGCAGTGGCAGTGGGGGAGCAATTTTTAGGACATTAGCTTACAGAAGACTGAGATGCTTGTAGAACTGCTGTCTAAAGACAATGGCAAGTTTTTTGTGCTTAGTGTACAGCTACTTTCAGGTTTTTCAAGTTATCCAAGTCAAATTGTGTTGCAGTTTTGATTTTTAAGGTAAGATTTGGATCAGGGTACATACAGAAGTAATAAAAATGAAAAGTCATTTACTACAAGGCAGCTGCACAAATCGTATCCGAGTATTAAAATGGGGTTGAAGTTTTAGTTAAAACTTTGTGAATTACTAAAATGAAGGTTTAGAAACTACTCTGAATATTCCTGCATGTTGCCCTTTCAATACCCACCCAGTTTAAATTATTTTAGCACCACAGGTGCCAATGCAAGATATAATGCAATGGTATAATCAGTTCATCTGAGGCTCTGCAGACTGACTGTGCACAAAGATTGTAATCAGCTGATAAAACCATGGGGCACTAAAACTGGCTGCCAGTAATCTTGCTAGGGTGCTATATTTACTTAGTCTATTCTGGTAGCGATCTGTAAGAGGTTTAAAGTAGCTCTCGAAGGCAGAGTTGGTGTTTGAATGATCATTGTTTGGAAGCAAGAATCAGCATTTGGATGAATAGATACTGAAAAAAGTTACCTGGTATGTTTGATGCAATGGGTGCTGCTGGATCAGCAGATGACATTAATGCTATGGAAATTCACCACTGGTACACAAAATTTATGAAGGAATGCCCATCTGGACAACTTTGTCTACATGAATTTAAACATGTCCTGGATCTACATGGACTTACTCCGGAAGCTAACAGCTATGTTGAACAAGTATTTCACACATTTGACATGAATAAGGTAAGAATTCATTCCTGACTTCCTGGCTTTCTTGTGGCTGTATCATTTGATGCACTCAGCAACGTGTCTCAGAGAGCTGGCGATGCTCTCTACTCAGAAATAATGAAAGTGATTCACAGGTGATGCAATAGAAAATTATGAGCAGATAAACATGAGTGGCAGGCAAACAATTTCGAATGCTCTGTTCCCCATTCATTTTGCCAACTTGAAAGTTGCGTAGTTATTCTAGTACATGCTGATTGTTTCTCATCTATGAAAGCGAGATTTTTATGATTATTTCCAGTGTGCATTAATAATTGAAATTTTTATTTATATAACTGCTCAAAAAATCTTTCTAAGTAAGTTGGTTTGGTTGGATTCATAGGTATTAATGTTTTAAGATTATGCAACGTACACACAATATGATTTCTTCAGTTGCTGGATTCATTCTGAGCACCTTCTGCAGATTAATTCAATCTCCCTTTTCCAGACACTTCTGTCTGCTTTAGATCCATCATCCCAATTTTACTGCTTCACATTCTAGGTCATCCTAAAGATACATCTAGCAGTTGTTAGCTGCATTGCTGTCTTATGTTCTTCATACTTGGTGTTCCTACAGGTTCCTTCGAGCCACAAGACTCATCCACAAGATTGTGCCTTGTTATTTTCCTCTTAAGCCAAAGTAACACTTTCTATCAAATGCTGCTAAGGAAGCAAAGAGTCATCTGTAATTCCTACAAAAGTATTTGTTCTTGGCTAAAATAAGGTTTAGGCTGAATTATCAGTACTACAAACTCAGCTTTCAGATAATAGACCAGATAAGTCCACCATGGTATAAAAAAAATTATTTAAAAAAAAATAGCATTAGTGTTCTCTACCCACATAATTTATCTCAAAGAGTTCAGAGATGTTAAGGAAAATGTGTTATTACACTACACAAATTACTTTAGTGATAGGTTAAAACTGGTCCAAATAGTAGCCAAAACTACTCCAAACAGTTTCCAGCTCCAGAAATGGCCTTTCTGTTCTTCATTACAGAAATAATTATATTTGTTTCAGAAAGTGCTGAGAGTATAAGGTACCTCATGTGCTCTTACATCCAACATTAAATTTCTTGTATGATGCCCAGCAGACTAAGAATTCCCAGAGTCACTAGCTCTGTTACACCATTTTCTTGTTATGCGTATTTCCACACGCACCTTCACCTCCAATTCAGCTTGATTTTTTGGATTTATGTGATTCTTTCTTGCATAATCTTCAAGGACTGTTCCTATAAAATCAGGCTCATTGCATGCTCTTTTCTTCCCCCCATCAATCACCAGATGGTTAAACATACCGGAATTTGATTAAGTAGCATCACCTAACTCAATTAACATGCTAATTACAGATCATGAACAAACTTCCAGTCCACAAACATGGAACCTGACTGACGGAAATTGTCAGCTTGCTGTGTTCTTTTCAACTAATAAATCAATGCACTAAGTTCCCTAGAAAAGCTTTAGGAATGCTAACCTTGGACAACACCCTTGGACACTGTCTGAGCTCATCTGGGAGCTTTTCCAGTTTAGCTCTAAAGTGTGCTGCAAAAAGCCCTTAACACACCAGTGCTCTTGAAATTATTCGGAAATACTCACAAAATTTATTTTAGACAAATAGTTTCAAAGCAACTACTGACTTGAGGACACTTCAGAAAGTTGAGCCTGCAGCTGGTTTTAGTTATTTTTCAGAAAACTGGACTGTGAAATAAACACTCCCTGAAATCAGGCTCCTGTCAGGAAGATAGTGTACCAGTGCAGGGCTGACCACAGGCACAGGGAGATTGAGCCCTTGCCAAGATGAGATAACCGAGGGTTTGAAGAGAGAGGAAGAAAGTAAGTAGCCTTCAAACAGTTCTGTGCCAACAGAAAAGCCTGGGAGAACTTGTCACTAGTGCTGATCCTGGTCTCTATATTTGGAAAATATCTATTGTACTCAGCAAATAGTGCATCCAGTACAGGCAGGTAGCACAAAATAAACCAGATAGCAACTTTCAGTTGGACCAGGGTTGCTTTTCAGCTTGCCCCATTCAGCTTTCTCCACCATTTGTAGTCTTTGCAATACTATTGGAAATCAAAATTGTTACAGTTTTCTTCACTTGTTTATATTACCTGTTTATATTACTTGTTTATATGTACGTTGAGAATGTACATATAAACTGTTTATTCTAACAGTTGAAATGTTACAGTTGTGAAGAATACTTATTTAGTATTTAAGAGGTTAATTAAGAGTACCTTTTTGTAAGGAAAAACCATTTTGCAAATGTAGCTAGTAACTTCTATGAAGACAAGCTTTATGTGCACCTGGGACGTGCCTCAGCAGAGAAAGAGCTCCAAACCAAAAAGGTGGTGAGCTTTGGGGGTCTTGGGGGTTTGGGTTTTGGGTTTTGTTATTGTTTTTTAATGGGACAGTGCCTTTTGGTTCATTAGTTTTTGACAAGTTACCAATTACAGGGCCCTTCCCCCACTATAAGGAGCTTAGCACCCAGGGAGCAGTTTGCTCAACTTATCTGATGAACATTAAGATGTATGCCTTAAACTTTTCAGGTTATATACACATCAGAGTTTGACTCTTACTACCAATCAATCTCTCATCCCCTTCGCCAGTTTCCCCACAACTTTTTAATGAATTGGCATATTTCAACCCAATTTCAAAGAGTAGACATTTCGGTTTATTAGTTCCTAATGTTTTCATAAAATTTGGCAGCTGCATAGCAGGGACACACCCAGAATGAATGCCCCACTCATGCAAGATTCAGCTTTTATTCCTTGTTTAAGGCAGCAGTTGGCTGGCAAAATGATCAGGCAATTGTTTCCTTTTGTCTGGTGAGGATATAGGGAGGAGCTGGGGTACCAGGATGTGAGGATTTAGGGGACAAAAGACATAGTTTGTGCTAATCTAGGCTTTTGTTTTTCTGTTCCCAGAAGGGCTTGTTTAATTAATGTTACGTTTTAGACAGAAAAAAATGTTTCAATTTTTTATCCATCTGGAAGTCTTCCCACAATTTTAATGAAATTTAACAATGATTTGGCCTTTAGGGCTTCATAAAATCCACTATAAAACTGCTTATGCTAGGTTTATAACCTCATTACTTAATAATGAGCTCCCACTAAATATCTGATATTCATTTCCAGTTTTGCAAGATATTGTAACAATCCTCCATTAGCTACTGTAATCTTAGGCATAGATTTTATTGTGTATTTTCTTAATTGAGCTGTTGCTCACCTGCAGCAATAGGACCAGGCAAAGTTATTTAGAAGGCAGAACAGGAATGGCACATTTAGAATTGTTAAATACACAAGATTGTATAGTCTATATCCATTTGTAGATGGAAATAAAATGAAGGATGTGGCATCTACTCCCAGATAAAAGGCTGTCAAGTTTTAATATTTGTCCAATCTATTTGTATAATTTAGTCACTGGAAAGGCTTAAACACTTAGAGAAATAAATCAAGTGAAACAGAATATTTTACCTGAACATTTTACTTTTTCCTTTTTAATAATAGAAAAAAATTATTTTTTATGAAATGGCAACAGTCTAGTTTTTAATGAAGTGGCAACAGTATAACTACATGATTCAGGTACAATACATAACATCTAGATAAGCTGTAGCTCAGGTTTTTTTCTTCTCTTGCCTTGAATAAAATCTTGTGAAAGCCTCCCTGAAAATCCTGTGGCAAACAAGAACCAGGACCTCTCAAGCTGCACCCCAGGATTTCATAAGCCTCCCCTTTGAGATTCACACTGCATCTGTTTAGTTTGATATGATGTGTATATCTATCTGTTGTAATTTATGTTTCCTGTGAAGTCATTCTGTTGGGCTTCAGGCTGGCTTAGGGGACTGGTCTACGTAAGAAGAATGAGCTGTTGGCATACCAGCTTGCCAAGAGTAACCCATTTGGGATTTTTATGTCTTGGCACTGGCTTTCTCAGTAACACTATCTTCATATTGTTCTTGATCATTCTGACTACATCGACACTCCTAACAAGAGCATGGCTTATGTGCAGTGCAATCAAAAAAGCATTTGTCTTCTGGATTCTGCTCTTAATACAAAAATCCAGCTCAAGACTCCTTTCCACGTTAAGCAGAGACTAAGAATATTATTTCAAGATGACTCAGCTCCTTTCAAGTTAGATGTACCAAGTCTCTCTGCCCTGCTTTATACATCAATGGGATAACAACCTATCTGATTAAGTCAGTGGAAACTAACTCTTTCTTAACAGAATAAACAGATTGTGAAAAAAACTACACATAAATTAAGGTTCTGAAATGGCATAACATGTGGAGATATAAAAAGTCATTATCATTCAGACTGTCTTGCCCACAGCAGTGCTATTATATTTTGAAGTTGAAAATTGCAAGGTTAGTTTTCTTTTGTTTTCTTCCCCACCCCTCTACCCCCTTCCAAATTCTTTGTGTTATTTTTCTTCTGCTGGAGGATCAGATTTTTTCTGCCGCCTTGATGGTAAAAATTGTTGCCAGATCTTTGATGTTAGTGGATGAGAAAAAGATTTTGGGATCTAATTTCTTGCAGCATGCATTTGGCATTTAGGAAGTGAGATTCCAAGCAAACAGACTTTGGTGTCTGCGAGCTTCTCCCTGAACCTGAAGTTGCTCAAGGTGCCTCTCTCATCTTCCAGCTTCTATGACACTGAAAGTGCCATGCTTTAAATATTCAAATTTCTATCTCTGTATTATCTGAAAATCCATCACTGAGACTGCAAACAGAATGAAGAGAACGTGTGCGTTAAGTGGATTATGCAAATGAAGACTTATGATTACTTTTTAGTGCTCTTACTCTTTCAGAATTATATACATAAGGACACATTCCTAGTTCTTTTTAACCTTAGGATTATATCAAAAGTGCTTATCCCATGCTTAGTTTAGATAGGATGTTAAATCAAAGTATGTAGTTTAAATTGTAGAGTCATGAAGAATCTATTCTCAGTAAAAAGTCCCCTTCTTGAATTTCACTAGCTCCTAT